CAGCCCTTTTGGCGCTTCTGCTGGGGCCGTATGCTGAATGTTGAGGGTCCCCGACGGTCGACGGACTACTTCAACTCGGTCCTTAAAACCGCCTCAATTTGATGCTTACCTCAGGAACTAAGCCTTAAAGAGAGGACGGGTCCGTCCTCTCTCCAAGGCTTAGTCCTGGGGTAAGCAAACCAGCCCTTTTGGCGGAGCTGCTGGACCTAGCTGCACCACTTCGTCATCACTCTCCTACCGTACCGACCGAGTTGAAGTAGTCCGTCGACCGTCGGGGACCCCATCCCCTCCCCAACATTCAGCATACGGCCCCAGCAGAAACGCCAAAAGGGCTGGTTTGCTTACCTCGTGCCCAACTTCTTCGATCGAACCAGAAAGAGTTCTACGCGGTAGCCATCCATGCTCTGCGTAACAAAAGGTGATGAGCCTGTGACACAGGTGAAGGAGATGGTTCAGGTTGATGTGCTTCATTATTGTTTTTATAATGAAAATAATTGATGATCGAAAACGACATTTCAATCGTGCCAACCTAATAGAAATGAGAAAGACTCATAACTTCCACCTGCACTGTAAAGTGCACACGAGGTTCGGCGCAACGTGGCTCAGGGTGGCACCGTGTTATCACATCAGCATCGCGGAAAGCTCATAGGACTAAGCGAATTGAGGAGGAGAAGGATTCCGGTGCACGGAAACAATTTTCGTATTCCTCGGAGTTCCTCCCTGTTGCCTGAGCTTAGACCTGGAGGCCCTTTTACAGAGAGCCCCCAAGTCACATTGCGCCCGGAGTTCACACCCATAGTTTCAGAGATGCTATGTGGCCTAATGTCTAATTTATATATGCGCACATTTACTGATTACATCCTCTAAGAATGAATTTTTTTCTCCTTTACGTTTCGTCAGAAACGCTGTGGAGAAGCGCCGTTTGGCGCTTCTTCCCAGCGTTTCTGACGAACCGTAAAGGAGAAATTGGCGGTTTAAAGGACAAATCTCAAACCTTAAGCCACGTTTAGGCCTTTGAGGAAGACGATCTCGTCGAAACGTCAGGCCACTAATAAAATTCTCCACCTAACAACCTCGTTGGCAGAAGAATAATATCATAATAACAACAATGCCGAGGTTCTACGAAGAGAGAAGTTGGAGTTTGCTCCTTTCAAATGTGCGAGAGGGACGCAGCGCCGCTGCCACGCAAATGCGGCTTGATCCAAATGCTAGATTCAATTCTGCTCAGATTAGGTTCTCCTTCTTTCCTTTAAAGACATTTAACCTTTGCCACATTGGCCGGAAAGTAGAACATTGAAGGAGGTACTGCCCCTACACAGTTGAACAGTCTCGCGCTCCAGTATAGCGGCGCTAACTACCCGCGATCGCGTCGCGCGCTAGTTGGAAAAATCGTCAAATGTACCCCCTATTTAAAGGACTATAACTTTCTTCATTGATAACCATTTCAGAAAATGAAGGCAGCTTTTGAATGCACAAGACTTCTAGTTTCTAAATTGTGCTGAGCGTTTTTCTAAGCACGCCTATTCTCGAGAGTGGGAGACGTCGAGAAATTGTCGAGGAAATTGAAATTTACATGCGAGTTCCCACTCTTTGGAAGACAGTAGCTGTCTTCATTGGCAATGCTTTGAAAATCCAAAAATCGGATTTTAAAATCTGAAGAAATCTGCGTCGAGGAAATGTCAAGGAAATTTTCGAAGCCACTCGAAAACTCTATTACTCCCTCGCCGTAGTAGGGAACTTCTTTGAACACCTTCAAAATACTTCTGTACACGTCAGTTCGATGGAGTAAATTGAAAATGATGCACTTGGCGCAGGATCCATTCCGTTCTTATGCGCCATGCAGTGACCCCACTCGGAGTCATTGGGAAGGTGTTTTGTCCTAGTGACGACTTGCTTAAAGGCAAAAGTCGGGCTCAATAAGGGGTATTATGGCGACTGAAACTGAGTATAGAGATGCGAAGTGGAACGACAGTGGAGAAAAAACGAAAAGAAACCGTCGACAAGGCCGAAACGAAACCCCTTCCCACTAGCAGTGAAGGAGGCTTGCTTGGGAAAGAGCCACGTCCAAACGAGTTTTCCGGATATGCCAGCCGTTCCATCGGTTGATACGGCAATCAACCTAGCTGATTCACACGTTATGCCAGCCACGCACCACATCCCGCGGTGGGCGGGACCAGCTGATGAACGAACCCATCGCTGTAAGTAGTAGGCCAGAGGCCTTGACGGCGCGCAATCTCGAGTCAGGAGTGTGGCATCACCCCTCTGAGCGCATTCCTGGAAATATTAGTGATGGAAAGGCCTTCTATGACCACCTAATCCTGACTCGTGGCTTTAAGTATACAAACAGACGTTTCTATTAGTTTAGCTAATTAGATAACTCGTATGGTCAGGGTGATCTATGGTCTTCCTCTATTCGGATCGCTTCCATTCCGGCCCTGTTCTGATGAAGGCCACGCTGGCTGCAGTATAGCTGCGAATCTGCCTGTTTTGAACTTTCTACCAAGATGCTGTTCCTCCACTAAGTTCTCGAAGCATGTACATCATTCTAGAGTAGATACTCGCTGCCCTTTCCCTACGATTCTTTTGCAGGACGCGTTGCCTTCCTATGCCATACTGATCACTACGAACCAAACCAACAACCACTTTCCATTTAAATTTTAATTCCAGACAGTTGTAAGATATGTATTATTTGCATTAAAGGATGATAAAGGATAAAGCTTTCGCCGTTGATCAAGTTTACAAGGCAGGTATATACTACCATGAACTGACTTCCACAGAATTTTAATTTTGGAGAAGAAATGCTTGCAAAATCTCGTATGGATTCAACCAAAGCCGTCAAAAATCTTGATTCGCTCGCTATAGCTTCTGAAGTCAACGAATACAGCGTGGCGAAAAATTACGCGTGCCATAAACGTCGTACCTTCTTTTTTGTAAGTAGAAATCCGACGAAACTAATTTTATAAAACAGCAAACTGAGTCATTCAGTAATTATAAAAAGTTTCGAAGTGGCCGCTGTCAGTTTTGATATAGATCTGAATTAGTTTCGACATTGAGTCGATGGTGCGGCGAAGCTGGAGAGTCCTCTGGTTTGACGAAAAAATTCTCCCGTTTAAGCAGCTAAAAACTCCAAATTCACCTTCAACTTTTTTGCTCAGCTCTTAGGAACATCCGTAATTGAAAATACCTGCAAGAATTCCGTTCGCAATGAAGTTTGATGATTTGGAGCAGTAGCAGTGCTTTGAACATACATCCATTGATTTTTCTCGCTGAAGTCGTAGAAATCAAGAATATCTGTTCATGAAGAGGTGGTGAAGAAACCTCTGGTGCTCTGAAAGCAAGTTCACCAATGATGCCTTTCTACAGGAATGGGCTCCAACCCATAGACTAATACAACGACCGAAATCAGCGAGACCAAAATCGGCTCTTTTTGACGGTGGATTTGTGGCCTACTAACACTGCGAAATCGAATCCATAACACTTTTATGTTTGTGATCTTATGGGTGTCCCCCAAGAGGCCCATCGCGCGGCGAAGGAAGAGACGCAGATGCGGCAAAGGACGAGTCGCAGCGCGTGCTGTGCGATATGAGACGTAGTACACTCTATTTAACCTGACGCCTAACCGCTACAGTATGCGCTGCGACTCGTCCTTTGCCGCGTCTGCGTCTCTTCCTTCGCCGCGCGATGGGCCTCTTGGGGGCACCCGATCTCACTAAAGGGCTAGTAAGAAATCGAAACTCAAAAAGCTTGCTGACTCTGAAAAGAACCTTCAAAATTTAGGAATAAATTAGACGTTGAACACCTCTGCCGCACGCACCATCGACTCGCTGAAAAAACAAATTGAGGCCTGTATCAAAACTGATGGCAGCCACTTCGAACTTTTTTGCAATTATTGAATGTACAGTTCGATGTTTTATAAAATTAGTTGCTTTCATACATTTGTGATCAAAAATAAAGCTAGAACGTTTTTTTCTGGCGCACGTAATTTCTCGCCTCCCTGAATGCATAACTGCCTCTGACTGAAATGAATGGGTGAATTATTTTTTTTATCAGAGCGATCGTCGAGAGGTTGTGATGATACAGCCGCATGCGTTAAACTGTGGTGTGGGTTTTCTCTTGAGCGATTACGGTAATAAAGGATCGTATCAGTGAAGTATATGCGCCACACGAAGCAGTTACTTGGCTGCCAAGGAAGCGAGGTGTGGCGCTTTCACGACGAAAGGTGCGCTGGTTGCTGAGCAGGACTTCGAAAGCACTCCGCCCCCAAAAGCGATCCGCCCACTAGTTTAGTTGGTGATTTGGACGAGCTGCGTTGCCAGCAGCGGCACAACTGGAGCAACTCGACTGGAGCATGGTTTGGCATGGTTCCACCGAATGCGCTACATGAACTATTCCATTCGCACGCTGTCTGAACGTTGCCCGTCTGTTAGCGAAATTCAGCGGCAGATAAGGTGGTCCCGTCTTGCATTTTCTTGACGGGCCTCTGCTTTTTTCACTACTGATGTACTATGGAGCACCCCCACAACCCATGTGTGCCCCTCTAGAGCTTATCGTGTGATCACTGCCTTTGAACGTCTAAGAAGAAGAGTTGTGATAAACCCAGAGTAACATCTGGCGTTACTTCGGTGGTGGCGTTCCATATGACTGATCGATTTTTTTTCAACTGAAGGCGATAAAATTTTTAAGCCTCATGACTGAATAAATTATTGATTTTCTTATGATATGAGGTAGCGCAGAATACAGTTATTTTCCCGAACACTTCTTCAGAGGCCTCGATGTATTGTAAGTAGTTTCCATTTGAGGGTTTCACGGTTGCTCTATGATAAATAGCCAGCCCTATAGGCCTGGAAAAATACAAACGAAAGCGGAAAACGTGACTATAGGGCATATTTATGAAAAAAGAGAGCTGGCTCCAAAATTTTTGTTCGAAAACATTTCTGAATGAATTCGAATAGAAAGGCAATATAAAGGGTGGGCAACTCTGCAATCTGACATCTTGTGAAATGTTTCTCTTTTTTGTAGCGGTCCTCCACGCGATGGTGATCGTCGGTGCTCAAGGTAAGTGTAGCTGTTATGTAACACTGATCTGACATCGCTATGTCCACAAAGACAGCCCTACATTAGTTATGAGAAAGATCTTTCAGTTTTCAGATCAAAATTGGCCCATGCCCAGGCACCTGAGGAACGTTTATATAGAGTTTTTCGATACTATAAATAGAGGCTTGGTTAGTCATTTTTTCTTATTCCGAGCTGGAGAGCAGAGGTGAGGCAGTATACTTTGTATTCCTCCCACATGCACAATTTGCTTGCTCTTCGAACCATAGCCGAAACTTGCCCATAGCTACGAAGTTAATTATTAGGTTGTCCCATAATTAGTGAATCACTTTACATTTATTGCTATAAAAATCCAAGAAAAATGGTGAAGGCGTGAAACATGTTTTGCGAAGTAGCACCCACATTGTCCTACCTGAGCAATTACTCAGCCCATTTACATGCTGCCTTCCGTGGCTGATACTTCAATTTTTCTGGAACCTATTTTTGAGCTCCCTTCTTCAATCACTTCTGATTAGGATCTTTCAAACGCCCAACAACATAGAGATCAACCAGCAGATAGGCGAGGGCACGCTCCCTCAATCCACGTAGCAATAAAAGGATAAAAAAGCATTTGCCGTTGATCAATCCCTTTTTGGGATGCGGCACGCATTCTACTTCCATTTGTACATTCGTAGTGGCGTTTGAATGCGATGTGGCCTATACAATGACTTGCGGGGGCCAGCCGATGTACAAGTCAGTGTTTTTTATCCTCCCAGACAAGTCTGGTACCAATTAACCGACCCCGGAGGGATGGAAGGCTTGGTTGGCCCGGGCGACTCACGACCCAGGATTTGATCCCCGGACCGCTCGCGTGGTAAGCGTGCCACTTGCCACTACACCACTTCCGCCCAACTTCACTCTATTCCGGGGTTGGCTTTTTTATTTGAAGATGACCCACACTCCAACTACCCCTCACTGGCAATCTCACTGCTCTACCCAGCGCCACTGAGATGGATCTGGACAAACTAGTCGCTATTTGCAGAGCGTATCCGACTTGTTAAGATGATGGAATGTAGACATCTACGTAGAGTCGTAAAGATTTTAAAATATGGAGTTTGTATCTCACATGCTCTGAGCCCGAATCAGCTCCACACACGATCTGACATCGTCATGTTCCTTCTGATCTCCCTTAGTTCCTTACAGTGATCATCCAGCATATTCACCAGGGTTCTGGACTGGGTGGAGTGTACTAGCAAATCTCCAAGGAGCAGTAGCCTAGCATGAACGATTCGGGAGTTCTGACAGCAAAAGCCAACCTCCTTCTAGTCCGACCCTTCCGAGATATTGGTGGAGCACGAGAGTGACCTTGCGCTGGGAACCGCCGCCCAGTAATACTAGGGTCACTGAAGAAGATCAACATCTACAGCGTAATGGCGACGCGTTCAATTTGAAAGTAAAGCAAGACAAAGTCTGCTTTTTTCCTGAGGTCGTTCGACCCCACCTTGCGGAGAATATTCATAAAAAATTGGAGACTCCCAGGCTAGCAGTTCTTTCACCTCCTCTGTGTGGCCCTATCCTCGTGCCAACAAAGACAACTCAGTCTGACCTCTAGCGCTCTTCCCCAGGAAGAAATTTTACGCTAAGTGACATGACCTCAAACTCGACTTCCGATCTTTCTTCGATCAATAGCTCCTGGAATTTCTAGAGATAAGACAGCGACTAAATTTCCTTGTATAGGCAATACATTGTAGATGACAGATGTATGTTTGGATGAGCAAAGACTTCCAATAAAAAAGAAAAAAATTTGAATTCAAAAATACCCAAAGTGATTCACTAATTATGGGACAACCTAATACGAATTCGGTCGTTGGCATCATTCACCTACATATTCTAGCTGATACCAATTCTAATAGCTATTCTAGCTCCCACAGCATGAGTTCAGAATTTGAATTCTCTATAGAATCAAACTAATAGCAAGTTTTGTCTTCAGAGATGGTGTAAGTTCATATCGTATCAGGCTTACACAAGATTGGTGAAAGGAACAGGGGGCTTGAGGCATCCCCATCTCACGCTCACTGTCATTCAGTGGGTTCAAGAAATTACCATTGCCTGATCTCGTATGCAAACGCATTTCTTAAGGGAATTCCCCCATTGGAGTAGGCTAAAACTGGCGGAAAAAATATTGGTTACCCTATGCGGTTTCGACCAATTCAGGTATGAGGTGAGTTGTTAAAGAATTTGCTGCAAAATGTGGATCTTTTAAAGAGTGTTGACATGAAGTCAGCCGCTTCACTGCTGAAGTGTAACATATAATAACGACCGGATGTATTCTGTTCGTGTTTGCTTCAAAAGTTAATAATTGCCGCTGCTTTACATGCTTTACATAGCCCATTCTCATGATCAATTTGAGAAAGCATGCATCTGACAACTTGCGCACTGATGTGTGTCATTAGGTCCGAAATTTGGAGCGCAGCGAGTCAATAAATTACTCGACACGAATCCTATCCATCATGCATGCGACGAGTAGTATATCCAATAGCCGCGTGGTCTTCTGATCGGTCACATTTGCAGCAGGAGGCGGCGGGTGGAGAAACCGTTGGTTTCTTCATTCTCAGCTATATTTAATTTTCCTTTTAGGTTAACGGTTTAGTGACTGTTGCTAAATGTTGATTTTATTCAGATTGGGAAGCTTCCTTACGGAGCAAAATATGGGTGCTACCATCTTGTCGCTCGTGGTGGGGAAGCTTGGTTCATACGTATTTTGTGCTTCTTCCGAACCACCCTAACACCATGATCTTGAATCTCATCGATGAGCTTTTTTTGTCGGATAATTTTGATATTTCGGGAACAGCCTACATAAAAAGATTCCCAGCAGTTTTCTCAGAAAACTTGAAACACAGCCTACTACGTCGACAAATGCAGAAACACTACACCACTAACAAGCAAATTTTTTAGACCAATTCGCCATCGCAGCTGATTCAGAATGTGCAGCGAGTCATATGCAACTTGGTGGGCTCACAATTTCTAGACCGCTTTCCATATGATGCCGCGAAATCCGCACGAGAAACCATAGAGGAAATACAACCTGCGTCGTGACATTAACTTCAGCAAACCGAAAAACTGGCCGATCAGCATCCCGGCTTCCTTGGTTGGAAAACTTCTTAGAAGCTGTACTAATTTAGTGTCACACTTTCATGAGGACCTATTAGAGTCTTCCGGAGTCAAGACTGAGCAGTGGTTCTTATACAAAGTGGGTGAGAGCGTATCGCCACCCATCTTGTGGAAAGATTGCTCTGAACTTCTGAGACCACCCCTGCAGCCTTTTCTATGGCTTTTCCTACCAGAAAAGGCCACACACTAGCCAGCCAATCTTCAGTATCTACATGACGCTGATGAGAGGGAATTTGAACACGTTGATCGTTGTATGACAAAACAGTTTCGATGGGACAGTATGATATCTTCACAAGGCCTGATAAATTTGACACTTCGTGCTTCAGTTCCACAATTGTTAAGCCTGTACCAAAACCTACACACGATTTGACCCTGGGGCACATCCTCTGCTGCAAAATGCGTGTTAGACCGCATTGTCAGAGGGTCGCCTGTCACTCCAAAGCGCAGATTCCCCCTTCTCCGACCTGTGACCTCATCAAGGAATCCTCTTTAACATACATATAAATGCGCACCATCGTCAAAGCTGTGCCAATCGAGCAATTTTAATACGCGCAATAAAGACGCCAGAACTTAAAGAAATAGAATCTTACTCACGTCTCCAAGGTTGCAGCTTAACTCGGGACAAAGGCGACAATCGTGTCGAGGAGGGGGTCGCAGCCGTACGACCCCCCCCCCAAAATCGGGGTCTTGATACGACCCCTAACTTTGATTTGATGTGAATAAACGAGTTCCATTAATGGTACTTCAAAGTATGCAGTTGCAGCGCGGTTTACACCGGGGTCAGATTTGCTGAGAACCCCGCTCCAAACCTTCGAAACCTACGCTCTCGTTGAAAAGCAGATAGGATCTCCCAAATTTTGTCGAGTCAGCGTCGAGGACCGCTGAAATTTTTTTTGCCAGTTAAAGGGCAATATTTCTCTATTTCGTAAGAACTTGAAAAAATAAAGACAGCTTCAACTTTTTCCTGGCGGTTTACGCTTTCTAATTGTCTATTTAGCTTTCTAAATCTCTTAGTTGAGGAGATATTTGCGTCGAGGATCTATCGAGGACGATTTGGCCACTCAAAAAGCCGCTCCTTCTTCACCATTGCAAGTAATTCGTTGGCAACTCTCGAAATGTGTCTAGAATACATTCTTCCAACATAAGCGATAAGAAAAGGGGCAATCGTCATCATCCGATTTCGTCTGGTATAGGCCATGCATCCGACCTCACTCAAAGTTGCAGAATCGATTGAAAGGTGTTATATACTATATATAGTTCGTACAGTATGTATTGTGCTGTCTATAAGGTCGTGTGTGGCCTCATGAAAAGTGTGTTGTGATGTGGTGGTGTGCCATCAATTTCAAACTCCTAGGTGTGTGTGTTGTGTGTGTGTCTGTCACGAAATTCATAGCGCCCTTCGGTGCAACAGTGGAGCGCTGTATTTTGAGTATGTTGTAGGGGGTGGACGGGAACATCATTTGGTGGGGGACCCAAAGTGATAACGACTGATAAGATCCGATAAGAGGCGCCAAAACGCCAATTCCACGATATCCATAGCGCGCGTCCCAGCATCAGTGAGGCGTTGGTTCCAAGAAGTGATGTAGAGGGTAGGACGGGAACATCTTTGGTGGGGGAGAAAGTGATAACGGCTGATAAGGGCCGATAATAACGATATGCGCAAGAATATAGAGGTCACTCAAAACCAGACTTTAGATAAAGCATTTCATTTCAATATTCTTTCATTTGCGTTGTTATCATCAGCCCAAAATACCACTAAACCGCTATGCTCTCCAGAGTTCCTAAAAATGTATGGTGGATGTTCGAAAAAATACGATAACGAGTACTGGGTATTTCTATTATCAACACAATCCGACCGCTAAATTACACTGACATTCGATGCATGGTGGTTGTTTACAGACACCGCACTCCACTGCGCGTATCAAACGGTGAGCTTCTGCAAAGATGAGCAGCCTATGGAACGGTCAGCTAACGCATTTTACGAAGCAACTCAATGTTTAGCGGTGAACCTAACGCTTTATCGGCTGTCCTGCTTCACTTAGGCCTTCCGTTTCATGCGCGCGGTAGCGTGCGGCGCTAAACTGGTATGATGATAACCTGTTGACAGAAACTGCATTATAGTAAACATATTTCGTGACTCCTGCAATCTGTGAAACATTGCTCAGAGTCCTAACAACAGCATTCTATCATTCTCAACAGCAATTGTTTTTACACTGTGTGCCAAACGAGGTTTTTAAGATGGAATCTTTATTACTGGCCTGACGTTTCGACCGTCTTCTTCAGAGGCCTGGAGATTGTCTGAAGCTTTTGATTTGTAGCTATTCGATCAACCGCTTTAGTATTCTCGACGTCATAGAGCGTCGAGAACACTACCGAACTTTAGGTGATGAAAGCTTAACTCACCGAAGATTCCACCGATGCGGAGCGTCAGCTCACGCTTTGTGTTAGTATGGCGTCAATATAGCGAATGAACCTCACTCAAGTCAGTGTCATATACGTCAAAATATAATTTAGATTAAGATTCGAAAAACAATAACTAGAGTATGTGATTCAGCGGTTGTGGGCGGAGTTTGCGTGGTGGGCGGGGTCGGGATATGGCTAGCGCGGGGGGTCCGTGGGCCAGGGGGATGTATTGTATTCTTCTATTGTAAAATGTACTTCAAAGGAAGAAGCATGCCGTCGTCTTCTACCAGAGCGAGTTTGGAGAAGGATTGAGGGTGGGTCAAGGGTGATTTGTGACGCTATTCGATCCAGAACTAAAACCGCTCTTTGTGCAAAATACGAAAGACTTTTGCACTCACGAGGGGAGGTCGTTTCAGGGCGTGGAGCGCTTTCTCAAAACGGTTTTTTGCATGATATAGGGGCAGTGCATGGAGTACAGAACTATGGTCCATTTCCGCTAAATGGCCCTCTGAATGCCAAAAAAGGAGTGAAAATAATTTCGTTGGAAACTGCAGTTTTTACACATTCAACGTGGTGTGTTTCATTCATGGCGTGGACTACTTGCATAATGGAGGGTCTTCGTAAGCTGTGTATCGAAAACAACGAGAAGTTTGGTCAAAATTGGAAAAAAGTTGTCGTGGTGATGTCATGCTGTGTACTAAAGAGCGTGTGGAAGTTCCATAAGAGCATTTGGCCAACACTTCCAGCAGCGTCGGTGGTGTAGTGGTTAGCGATGTGGATTTCAATTGGCACGCTTGGTCTGGGTTGGTGGTTCGGATCCCCGAGGCGTCGGCTTTTTGCATTTTTTGTTGGCACTTCCAGATTGGCTCCAAATTGCACTAGGTGCCAAAATGGATGTCTTATTCAAGACCAGAACCATTAATAACCCAGATGAGGTAAGTTTTCACCGAAAGCAGGCAAAAAAAGTTGTAACGTCGAAATGGCGCCAGATAGCGGCGGCTCCAAAAAACAATGCCATATTCTGACCAGAGCACTGATTTACCTCTATAGCCAAAGTTTCGAGGAAAATCGCATCTTTGACCTAACTTCGAAAATTTGCACCAGACATAAGTAAATCTTCAAGTATTCCCACTCGCTCGGAGGCGAGCTCCGCACGGAAAACTGGCAGAAAACTACTGCACTGTGGGTGACCCTCCGACCAACACCAGCTTGCTTGTCTGCTATAGTCTATTCGGCAGGAGCATTTCTCATTTCTTGAGGACTATCTAGAGGAGGTCATTTCCAAGAAGTTCGCCGTCGAGCCTGACGTGCTACAGAGTTTACTTACTCATGGAGCAATTTTTCGAAGTTGGGTCAAAATCTTGATTTTCTTGGAAACTTCGACTACAAGGGTTATCAGGTGCCCTGATTACGAATACACATTCATTTTCAGCTCCGACATCATTTCGGGCCCCTATGACGCTTCGACGGCACGTTGGTGAAGTTTTTGCGTCACAACTTTCTCTCACCAGTTTTCGGTATAAGCCCACTTGTAAGGGTTTTTGTAAGCCTAATTATAATTATGACATCAATTCCTGGTGTTGACGTATTTGGTGCCAATTTTGTGCGTCAAATCACAATGCAAAAATTTTGTCACCGCGGGGAATCGAACCAAGGACCACTTTCCACCCTTTTTTGGCATTCAGAGGGCCATTTAGCGGAAATGGACCACAGTTCTGTACTCCAGGCACATCCCTCTATATCATGCAAAAAACCGT